ACACACACACACACACACACACATATATATATACATATATACATATATGCATATATATATATACATATATGCATATATATATATATATATATATATATATGCCAATCTGTAATTGCCTTTGCAGAAGTCCAAATCTATGCATAAATTCCTGTTTATCAAAAATGAGATAAAGATTTGACAACCAAAAACAAAAGTACAAACTATGTTGCTAATCACGTGTTTGTACCTATTTATGACCATCGACATATTTAATAAAGAAGTACAGAAAACACGAGAATATTTCATGAATCAAATATATATATATATATTTATACATACATATATCATTTTCTAATCAGGCTACTGTTGAAAGTTTTTATAGTCTACCGTGAACACTCACGAACACCGCAACTCGAATGTGTGGTGATATAGAAAGTTATTTTAGAACTCCAGTCTATCTGAAAGAGACTTTGGGTGGATAGAAACCATCCGGATGAAAAGCCAGCTCTGAATAGATGCATAGTGGATACTTATGAAGTAGGCAAAAGTTCGGGCCGATTGAAATGATTCCTGGTGAAAACTAAAGGCTAATCAGATACGTTACAGATGCACAGGAATGCACACATCTATATAAACGTATAGAAACAGTTCCGCATTTGCTTATAGGTAGATAGAACGCACACACTCGCCTGTACGCGCACACAATGGATAAAACACACACAGCTCAACTACATCAATTCGAAAGGGCTTCCGACGCAAACATAGATGCATACATATCACCTATGAACAGGAACACAAACTCAGCACAAACACTAAACACACAGTCTGCATAAGAAACATACTCAGAGATTCAGCACATCTGTAAGCTGCACAAGCGAAAGAGAGACTTACTGGGATTTGGCTGCAGCACCTCATCTGTAGCCGCAAGCACTTTCTTGATCGTCTTGTCGGCGTCGTCGGTAGCCTTCAACCCGAAAATACAATCACAAGAGTAAAGTTTAGATGGAACACCAATGACGGGCGGTGAATGAAAACCGACGGATCTTAAGTATACTGAATTATGAACCATGCAAACGTATTAATGAATAAGTTAGACGACAGAGAATTGAAATTTCCGATAGAAAAAAATACAAATTTGTCATCACAGATAGAATTATTCGACTCGGATCAGTTTAGTGCGCCACGTTAATTCGTTGGCTACATTGGCACAAGAGAAAATTCAAACAAACAATAAATGATGAAGAACAAACAGAAAAGAGACATGAACAATCACAATTGTACGAGACCGAGTGCTCGAGGAGAATTAAAAGAACACACTGTTGACTTACCCTAGACATATTTAGGAACTCGTCATCGAGCTTGGTTGGTTGATATGAACCGGCCTGTGTAGTGAGATAGGGCAGAAATATGATTCACAATTCGGAACTGATATGAGCAGGAAAGATCTCGAATAAGAGA